CATATAAAGAAATAAAAATATGAAAATAAATATATATAATTTCAAAAAAAGTCAACTGATACAATACAGGGCTATAGACCAATGTTTTCTTTTTATAATTATTATGCAACCTATATTTGTTTTTTTTTTTAATCAAAATATTTATTTGCGTTTGTTATAATAATAACTACATCAAAGCTGGTAACGAAATCAAGCGAAGCAACAAATTTGTACAATACGCAATTAATGTTTTTGGTTCTTTTTTTTATTGAAACGAAAAAAAAGAACTATTATTTCAAACAAATGCATGAAATTCATTTTATATTTGTGCAATGCATTTATTTTTTTTTTTCGAACGTTTTTTGTTGACAGCGTTTATTGGTGTAGTGTTTAAATATTGTTCAGTATGTTTATAAAATATTTGCAAACATACCGAAAATATATATGTTTGATGTTTGTTACAGTTGAATTGTAAAATCAATGATGAGCTTCGTAATTACTTAATTACTATATAATCATATTAATTAATTAAAAAAAAATCACTTTTGCAGATTAAATATAAAATTTACAACATTGAATCTGAAACAAATGAATAATTTTAGTGTGTTTACATAACTTTAAATCTACAGAAGTAGAAATATATACTAAAAAAATGCAAATCAATGACACACATTTAGTTTTAATGATAAAGAAATAGAAAATATCTAGGCGTGATGATATTGTAGAACTGTATTGAACTTCAACTCTCGAGACGATTTTCAGTAACAATGTGAACTATATATAACGCGTGCAAATTCATCCCAGACAAGTATAAAATCAGCGCGTTCCACTGAACGTACCTCAAGGGTATGGATTAAGTATACGAAGGATATACAACACAAACATATATTTAGTTTGTGAAGCGACTAGAGAATAAATTAACAAAGATAATCCACAAATTCAAAATAATTATATACTATACATAAAGAAAAACACATACAATAACATACTGATCGGTAAATTTAGCTAAACTTATCAAAATTAGTATATAGCTTCCTCTCATAGTAAACTTAAAATTTCAAAAGAATATTAATTTTCATGAAATATAAATAAATTCGTACACAAAATATTTTTTACATATAAATTATAAACTAAATAAATAAACTCAATAAATTTATACTAATACTGTATTACATGACACTCATTCAATAAAAGCTTATAAATTCATTATAAAAATTAATGAAAAACTTTCTTTTTTAGTGTTGGCTATTAACCTTTGAAATATACAAGTTCTCGTATTTTAACAGCATAATCATGACCAAAATGTCAGTCAACATGCGATATGGCAGCTCGTATGACCACGTTTGAACTTTGCCACCCAATACTCTATTGTTGTAAACGAAGGACCAGACTTCTACAGAATAAAATCTTGCTCGGCTTTGATATTGTTTGTTCTGAGACCTTTCAAATAAAATTATTTTCAATGTTGTCTATGTTTACAAATTCATTGACAGTGTTTACTCAACAGTGAACGTTGGCTGTCAAACAAATACTAAAGAACGTAGCGTCTTCAAACTTAAGTGTTGGTACAAACAACAAGCGCCATCTATATGTGAGGTCGGGTACTTCTGGGACTACCCTCGTATAACATGATTTCATTCTAACATTCGATAATTGGTGAAAATACCCGTATAACACGGTAGGAATACTGGTTTACTTATAAAAGGGTTAGAATACTCCATAAATACAAATATATAAAGAAATCACAACTAAAAGTTACTAATTTATAATTATAATAAATATATTAGTCTCAGTAACAAAAAGTATTTTTTTTTATCAGTTCATTTGTCTGGAATAAAATGAATTCGTATATAACGACATACTGTTGGAACCAAATTACCTTGTTATATAAACGTGTATTATCAATCACTATTTTTTATTTCTATCGGTAATAATTTCATGTAAATTAATGAGATAATTAATTGAAGTTTCAATAAACTATAGTAAATTATACAAATAATGGATATTCGATTTCCTTTTTGTAAATTGAGATACATCCTCGTCATTTAGTCCGCGTTTCATCGTTATTTCTGTATCCTATTATTATTACATAATTAGCAAAACAGCAACAAACTGGTTACAGCGTAGCGCACATTCGCAAAACCGGAATCCGACGCTTGCGGCTTAATCCATGCGGCAATAATTACACAATGTACTACAGGTGGAAATTAGGTGAATAAATTTAAATTTGAATTACGTAGAGAGTATTTAAAATAAACAAGCGGCAAGTTCAGTCTCGGTTACTAATTATGGTCTGTAGTCTTTCCTTTGCAAAAACCGTAATTTCAATCAAATGAACGTTATCTATATTGATTCGTCAGTGCAAGATTACTGAATATTTAACATTGATTATACATGAGATATCAATGCATATAGAACTCATCAAATTTCCATTAAGCACATTTTTTAATATTATAAATGATTTGTATTACAAAAAAGAATCCAACGTGTTATTAACTATGTGTGTGTTATATAACATTTGACATTCATTTTTGGTTTGGTTTCAATTATCCGTCCAAATGTACAATATTACATTTGGACGGGTAATTGAATATTTTCAGTACTCTTGTGTCTCTCTTTATTTTCATAAATGTACTCAACGAGTAGACACTTTACGTATACTTTACTTGATTCTTGGACTGTCAAAATTGTACGTTAGTGCGGCTACTTATAGGTAAATTTAAAAATTTCTGTAGACTAACCAAATGTTTGTTAGTCGAACGATGATTTCCCATTTCGATTCAGCTTTTATATTTTTTGTTAAATATATGACTTATTGTACTGTTCATTTAATACGAATCTACACTTTACCTAGTTTCTTCCTTTTCGTAAATTTATTCGACGTTTATATGAACGTACACTTTTCCTAATCTTGAGTCATTTTTGGATTCACACATGTCTCCTTGATTACTTAATTTCATACGAACCTACACTTTACCTAAACTTTGAATAGTTACTATTATATGTTCTTATAAATAATTGTATAAGACTTTTATATGAACATATGCTTTACCTGGTCTTTGTACTGTCAATATTGTATGCGGATACTTTTTACGTAAGCATCTGTATGTTAATTTCCTTTGTTCACACAACTGACTGTATATTGTTAGAAGATAAAAAAAACTACCCAAATTTTACTTTAAGTGAAATATACAATTTAACTATTATAATGTGAAGAAATAAAAATCAATATTAATTATTTACATTTTTACAATCAAATAAATGTTTTTCATGAAAAGGATACAAATTTCATAAATACAATGTATGCATTTAAAAATCATGGACAATTCAACATTGCAATTGAATGATTAATAACCATGCATTAAACATAATTGAATAAAAAGTTTTATTGTATGTCTACTTCATTTTTGACATTTGTTTTTCTTTGGTGACATAAATAAATGAAATTATGAATGATAGCATAGTGAAGTATCCATTAAATCATTGTTATTCAGGAGTCTCCATCAACAAGTTTTCGGACGGATCACCGTGTTTCGCAGCATCGTGCATACTAAACACTTAAACTTGTTGATCTCTTTTCAAGTTTTTTTTTTATTCTACTTTATTTTTTATTAGAAAATCTTGCAGTTTCTTAACTCAATGACGCTTTATGAATATAAATGAAACGTTGTCAGAGATCGATGTTGAATGAAAAATTACCTCTACTATTATGAAATGCTTCTCAGTGACTGGTAGTTATAATAGTTCTTCTATAATGAAAAACATAAAAACCACATTCACAGCATTTGAAATAATAATTAATTGATAGTACTTTATTGTAGTAATTAGTGGAAATTTGTAATTACAGTATTTTTTATTAGTAAACTAATAAATGCTAAATTATACTAAAATCTAAAAAGATGTATAAATATTACATTTTGGAGCAAAGAGACAATTTTAAGTCATCAGAGAGCTACTTGTAGCTATACCATCAATATTTTTACTAGAGAAACCAATTTTTCACAATAGCCACCGCTGGGAGATCTGGGAGCCGCAGTTAATCACTAAAAGAGCCGCTTGCGGCTCCAGATCCGGTTGCCGATCTCTGGTTTAATAAAGTTAAACTAAGTTATATCTGTAAATCTTTAAAAACAATCAAACATTTTTTTTTATAACCATGTAATAACATTTAGAAACTAATAATTAAGATTATAATGGAAATAATCTGCTCATATAATTAACGTTCTGACATTAAATTTTAAATTCAACATATTCAAAGATTTCTATCAAAATGCTTAATGATAATTGCAGTTGCCCCGTGGTTCATTACAAAGAAGAAGGTATATGAGAATCTTCCGTTTGACACAGTTAAATATATAATCACAAAGCTAATTAGCAGAAATAGATATAGACTAAAATGCATATTCTAGCTATTAATTAACCTGATTAACCAATGTTGGATTTTTCTGCAACTTGACTGGTCTGCGACTTTACATTAAATAGTAACAAAAGTGTTTTTCTCCCTTTAAGATCAATATGTCATTAAAAGCAAATACTGTGTCTTCCTTCAACTTGACTGGTCCAATAAGGGCAACTGTCGGTGGAAACTTCAACAAATTAGTTGTAGTTGGACAACAATTTATAACTTATACGTTTTCTCTGCGGATAAGATTAAATGTGACATGATAGTAGTCTAGTATTCTCTTAAATGAACTTTAAAATCAACAAATCTTCAATTAGTCATAAATGTAAATAGAAAAAATGCATTCACAAAGCGATATTTCAGTATTTGATATCTTTAATTACGTTGAAATCAATAGCTTTAGATCTACTATCGTGAAAGTGATTAATACTTCTGACAAAGCTTAAGCATTAAATTCTATATCAACAGTTCAAAGTACAAATCGTTATGTATAATACAGATTATCCTTGGGATCATTTAAAGTAAACAAACAATGCAAAGTCCCTTGAACTCGTTAATTATCATAAATCCAATGAACATGTTCAATGTTTTTTTTATAATATATTTCTTTTATTTACAGTTCCTCCCGATATTCTGGATTATCCAACGAGCACGGACATGATAGTCCGCGAGAGATCGAACGTAAATCTGAAATGCGTCGCTAAAGGATCCCCGGAGCCCTCAATTACGTGGAAACGAGAAGGAGGAGAACCAATTCAATTATTGACTGGAGAAGAAGGTATTATCTCTACGATTGAACTAACGATGAACTTCCTTACATATTTTATACTTTCAAACCGGACGTTCTTCTTTCCTGTAAAATTAATTGCTTCGAAAACTGTATCGTTATTATTATTATTATTATTCATATTATTGATTCGACATGAATAGGGAAATCTAATATAATTGGATATTGACGACATAATGGTGTGCTTATTTGTATGGAATCATTTCGAATACTGAAAAGAATGTATGTTTGTGTACATATCATGATTTGTTTTGTTTGTCCCAATTTACGAAACAAAATTCTCATAAATAATATTTAGGAAAGTGACTTTCGTTGGAATGGCACTGCACACCGTGATTTCTTTATGTCGTGACAGAATTACATTTCGTTTTTTGTTGTAAACTCATTTTTCATGGTTTCTTTCGCAAAAAGTTTTTTTAGTTTAAACTAAGATACTCTATTTGTACATATATTCTTTAAATTAAACAAATAGTTTCCGAGAAAATATAATAATAATATTAATTATAATTTCAAAATTTATTTTCGACCAATTTACCACCGATCGAAGCCTTTTAAATTTATTTAGCATTAGAAAAGGTATCTATTTTTATTTGAAAAATATTAAGTTTAAATCATCGGTCGACTTTAATTGATCGATCATCGATTTAAGAAGCAGCTTAAGTTTCGTCGGCGCTTATCGTCTAAGAAAGTGCGTTAACTTTGGGTCTCTGAAATAGTACTATATGGATGCTATAGACTAATACTATTGGAGAGCCCTCCGTTAACTTTATTCGGGCCTTCTACAAACACTGCGTGGGGGCCCTCAACTAACATTATAACCGTTACTTGTGATTATTTTTATTTTATTTTCTAATGCAAGTACCCAATTTGCTATGATTGAGCGGAGCTGCAGCCAAACACAATGCCTAAATTCACACCTGAAACGAGGTACTTGAGGACTTGATATGGTGTGGTATATTGATGGCAAACCTCTTAGGATAAGATAGGATAGGTGTGTCATTTGAATACATAGATGATAGGGGAGGTGATTTCCACTAGCTTTTCTTATGTCATTAACATCACTGATGTAGTATATTCTGTATTTATATGGAATATTATGCGAACTGATGCTAATTAGTAGAATATTTTTATATTTATATTGAAGGAACGCATTTTAGTTTCAATATCATCTAACTCAATAATCGGTAATCTGGGATAAATTGCTCCAAATGGGCTAAAAGTAAATTCCTGGGTAAAAGGCGTTAAGTAATTAAAATTCTATGTATCCATTAAAAATATTAGAATTCACCTACATCATAATGGAATACTGTCAGAGAAAAGGAATATATTTTGGGTAATAGGTACAAAAGTTCTCTAACTTGGAACGACCTAAAAACTTTTAATACATTAAAATTACTTTATCTTATATATTTATTAAGATATTTTAAGAATATGTGGTAAATGTAGATTTTTTGTTCACAATTTCTACAAAATATAAACATTCTCGAGAACATTTAAACAAAAACGGAGAATCCTATTACTAATTTATAAATAATTATTTCTTAAAATTTCCTAAGAAATGTTAAATAAGTTATTTGTTAGTCAATACTGAGAAAGAAGTCTCCTGAACAATAGTTAGATTTAACTGACAAATATTAGAATAGTCAACAATCATTTAATTTTGTAATATGTGCAAACAAAACAACACATATTGAACTACTTAGACATGCTATATAAACTAAGCACATTATGTCTATTGGTAAAAAAATATTGCAAAGAGAAATCTTTTTTCAATACTTTTCATATTCCAAAGTATTTAAAGTAATTGTTTTATAATCTATAAACTAAATTTAAGCTGAAAAATCTCATTATATAAAAATTAATGAGATTTGTAAAACAAATGAGGAATAAATTGATTTTTTTTGTTGCGAAATATTAAATACCAATTAGAGTATCATGGTAAATACTTCTTAATTCTTGAAACTATAGAGAAGATACTATAATTTAAATCTCTTCAGGAAAAATCGGACATATTGTTTGTTATCGTGAATATGATGTGAACAATCTACAGAGTAATGAGTTTGGCATAAAGCAAATGGATGATAATGATAAACGAATTCAAAGTAAATGTAGAATCAGTCCATTGGTGTAATCAATGCGGTACCAAGGATTGCGGTCGCTCGTTACTGCGTAATTGTTATATAATAAATAGATAAGATCTGGGAACGAACGGGTTCGTTCCTTAGTAGGTTAATAATATCTAATCAATGGCAACAGCGGCGGCGAAAAGAAGGGAAGTAATAATATGAGTTATTTTCGACTTAGAATTGGGTTCTTTATTCTGAGATTCGCGTGATCCGGGCAAATTACCATAGCCCACGTGCTACGTACCTGATTCTATATACTTTGTTGTTTTACTTACCAGTTCTTGTTCGTTCACTTTTTTTTCTTGTACTCTTTCCTGACTAATCTCTCTTTTTCTTTCCCATTCGTTCGTTCTCTTCTCTTTTCCAATATTTTATTTTGCTCTATGCATTCCGGTGCATTTTACAAAGGGCCTTTCCAGTGAATCGATACCGTTCGTAGAGAGGCAGTTGCGACGAACGTCCAACGGGCTGTGTGTACAATTTCGCTTTGCTTAATCGATTATGGATCCACGTGTTATTTGCCGGCTGCATTTCCATAGCCTTGCTTGCATCCACCGACGTGCACATCAAATCCTGATCAATTTATCTCTCATTAAACAAGCACACAGTTCCAAGCAGCTGTAAAATAGAAAAATGTATATTAAAAGAATTGAAAGCGCAACCAAATAAATGCTTCAATCCTCGTGGATTATTTGAAATTACTGAAGCGCAATTTTTTTGGAAGATGAAAAGAGGTAAATGGAAAAATAAAGATATCCATGACATGATTGTTTTACAACTTGGTTACGCTCTAACATGATTAGTGAATTGCTTTTACAGCATCATTCATTTTCATATCACATTGTATTGTAACGGTTCAAAATTTGGGGAAGTACTAAAGGGACTAGTATTTTACTAGATACTATTATTAAACTACATGAATACTTCACATAGTCTGGGTAATCGTTTCCGCCAATATTGCAAACTATTTAAAAAATGAATAAAATAATCTATTTATTTTTAATAATAATAATTATGTTTATTGCATAAGTCGTTTAAAAAAAAAGTAATACAGTAATAATAATAAAGTAAAGGAAAAAAAAAATAAATATACATAATTTCAAAAAAAGCCAACTGATACAAAAGGGCTTTTGACCATAGGTCTTTCTGTCCGAATTAATTTTTATTTTACTCAACTAAAAAAATAGTTTTTTAATCAAATCCGGACTATGCGAAGTATTGTTGTATAATAAATTAAAATATGAAAAATGAAGTGAAATAGTTAATAGTGAAATTACTTCTTATAACGAAACAATGGGTTTAATGCTACAGTTTGCTCATAGTCAATAGTTATTGAAACTTCAAATGATATATCTATATTTTTTTAATGTCAAACGTTTGTGCTAAATTTTATTGTTTTAGAAAATCTTTATCACTAAAAAATAGAGTGAACAATGTGAACAAAATGAAAAGTTTATATAAAAATAACTATAATTTCTTACATAAAAATATATAAGTTAGTTAATTTTTTTTTCATGTTCTAGTGGTTTATTTCAGAAACCTATTTTAAAAATCTATTTTTGAATTGAAGGTTTGATAAAGTTAAACTTCATATATGTCTATTGTATACTGTTCCACAATGATAATTTAACATAATATTGATATTATGAGATCTAACCATTGACATATTTGTAGATCTTTGGGAACATAATAATATATACTTGTACAAAGTTATTGTTACTTCTTACAATGTTTAAGAGGTATGGTATTAACTATTTTTTTAATGAAATTAATGCAATAGCGGTTTAATTTCAGTCTTCGACAATTCTCTTTTGTTTAATTAATAAAGTCTACATTAATGAAATTAATGTTAGCATAGTGGTGGTTTTAATAATTTGTTGAGTATTTGTTGGCTATTAGTTTTAGACCAGTATTTCCCAACGTGGGACTCATACTTCACAGGAGGACATGTCTAGAGTTTAACCATATGACGTATTCTGTATATGTTACATAGGAGCATATGAATTTTAGAAAAGATTGATGGGGCATGACACAAAAAAGGTTGGGAACCACTGTTTTATACTGAAATCGCTGGATAATGTTTTTTACAAAAAAAAACGAAGATATATACGAAAAAATGTATTTTGTTTTGATAAAATATATTGTTTGTCAAGACAATTTTATTAACTCTGGATTTGTGACAAAATTTAGAAATGTTATTGCTTTTAAATGTAAAATTTTCTAGGCACATTACGTAACAATAATTTTCAAGATGAAACTTTTATAAATAAGCTTGTAGTATTTAAATTTGTTTTTTTTGTACTTTGCAAATGCATCTGTTATGTATTATGTATTGAATTTTAGTGTCAGCTAACACAGTAGTGTTATATGAGGAATACCTGTATAAATATATAGATGTTGGTTTGGGCCAGTGGATGATTTGAGACGTCCGGATAAAATCGAAACGCGCTGTGCTTTCCACTAATCCGAAACACCATTGGGTGTGCGGTCAGCAGTAAAGTTGGAAAGCCCCATTTGCGGGATCCGCAGATCCACTAAAATCTTTCGAAGCCGCGAATGGATCACGCAATTGCGGTTTCTTTATTGTTTCGAAGCTTCTTCCTCAAATAAATCTAACCTAACTCTTCGCGTCTGCTCAACTTTAATATTAACCGGCCAATTTCAACCGCTCATATTTGTCTTCTACCAAAGAATAAGTTCCTTAAAGTGAAATACTTAATAAGCAATTAACGTATTCCCCGAGGCGGTAAAACGAAGATGGAAATCCGTGTAACGCTCGAGCGAAACTAATCTCTGCAACAACTTCGAACTACGACCAATTTCAAAGCCCCCTCGAAAACGGCCACATATTTATTGGATTTCCAGTCGGACGTGTTAACACGTTTCGCGAATACAAATGGAGATTCCTCTTTTTTTTGTTGATGTTGCTGTTGTACTCGAATGCAAATCCTTTTTTCAATTTTGAATCGTGTTAAAACTTTGCACTTTAGAGTTTTTTTTTATATTTGCCAGAAAAAGGTATAGAGTGAAAAAAAGAATGAGCGGCAGCGTTAAATCAAATTGGAGATAGATCGAATTTTGGGATTTCAGTGGAGCGCTGCTCTTCGGAAGGATCAAAGTGTCGCGAGTTCGGGACAGGCTAATCTCCGTGCTGTTTGTTTTAGTGCAAATTGATTTCTTCGGGATTACATCGCTATGATTTACGCCCAAATATTGTATTTCAATGTTGGAGCTGTTGGTTTTACTAGAGCCTATATGCTTTTCAGTTAATTAAAGTTAAACCTCAAGGACAGCTAGCATAAAAAGGATAAACACGGTTAATCAAACTCGATAAATTGAATTATATGTAAATATTTTTGTGAAACATTTTACAAATCACAAAAGTTATTTAATACCTCGTTTAACGAGTTTAATCCTTTTCAAAATTTCCGGTTCCAATGTATATATAAAGTTAACAAAAATACGTGTAATGAGAAAGCGACATAATTTGATAATTTAATTCTGATAATAACAATATTTAATAAGTGCACATGCATCAAAACACAGGAGAATTAATTAGAAATTATTCCATGATAGTATAGGATTTACCTCATAATTGCTTTCAAAATTACATGGACATACAATAAAAATAAAACTACATGCAATTAGTCGTGGACGGGAGACTACTGGGAACCTAATAGAAATTGTAATAATGTAAAAAGTAAAGGTACTGTTTAGTTAACTGTTACTTTTTTAGAGTTATCCGTGGAACAAGTACCCGATTTAATCGGTAATTTGTTTGGAAAATTGCGTTGAGTACAATGTATATTTAATTTCATGATAAAAAAAATAATAAAGTATTCATCTGTTTATTCTGAAAACGTTTCATGTTTTCTGCATTGCTAAATTTCCAATATAGTTTGAGAATGAAAATAAAATGAATAATAAGATTACATTATCTACAAATGTGTTATAAATATATCCCCCCAATTTACACAATTTCTGAGAAAAACGTGTAAATTGTAACTTTTTGTATGTACAATGGTGTAAATCAAAAAGTATATTAAAAACACACAATGTCGTTGTTTACTAATTATGATTTTTTTTTTCAATATTTACATAAATATTGAAAAAAAATGAATAGCAAAAAATATCTCTTATATAGCCAGTTTATTTTCAACATTAATTTTTTAATTTAAATTTTTTTAAATCGTGTGAAAGCGAAACCTTATAAAAAAAAGTACTGTGTAAAACGGAAAATCGGTTATTTTCAACATTTAATTTTCATTTAAACCGTGTAAAATCGAATACGTGTTAATAAAATACCGTGTAAAACGAGATATTCAAAATTCAATATTATACTAAAGTAACAATGATAACTATTTTATGTAATTTACAAACATGGGTGAATGTAGAATTTTATTACAAATCATTTCAAGAGTTTATTTTACATTTTTTCGAATAATAATGAAGTTTCATCAATTTTACTGTATTAAAACATCTAAAGACAATAGTTTTTATTATATAATACAATAATTAGTTCAATTTCAATGTTAAAAATGCAATATTTAATTTATAATTTAATGCAAAAGTTATAAATGTTGGTTTCATTCACACCAATTTTTATTTTCTCTAGACCGAAAGGCTATCTATTTTTGCTGTATTAATACTAAATTTATGAAAATTTCAAATTCACGATTTAGAAAAAAATCTATTGTTAATCGCAAAATGTAATTGAAATAAAATGAATTAATACAGAATTCACGGAAATGCAGTGTTAATAATATTAAGAAATTTAAGTTTTCTTATATATTCTTTCATTCTTTGAATGCATTAGATTATGGGGTCGGCATACTCCGGCTCTTTTGATGACTCTAAGCGTCGCGGTTAAAAAATAAATTTTAGGACTTTATTTCAACATTTGAAATTATACTCATTAATAATTGAGTATAATAAATTAAAATTTTAAAATTGCAATTTCTTAATATAGTTCTAGAAATATTTATAAATAAATAAATTGATGAAAGAGATCGGATTGATTGTGAAATGTAGGTTAATTGATAGAAATTTAATGATTTATCGATATACAGTTTTTATTTTTATTTATACTCATGTTGTTGTTTTGTTTCAGTGTACAGCATGGAAGGGCCGATATTGAACATAACCAAAGTGACTCGGCAACAAATGGGCCCTTATTTATGCATCGCCTCAAACGGAATTCCACCCTCGGTTAGCAAACGCATTATGCTCGTAGTTCACTGTAAGTACGGATTAATAATTCACTTAATTAAAGCTTTTCAAACAAACCGGAATGGTGGAAGTGCATCGCTCTTAAATTCCAGCGTTCGGCGAAACGAAAAGAATAAAAAAATAAATAATAAACTGCACTGGATTGATAGAATTTCCCTTCGTTATCAATTTAGCAGAGCAATTAAATATTTAGTAAAAAAAAGAGAATAAATTGGATAGTGGTGGAAAGAAGGCATTCCTAATAACGTCCACTTTTTCACGCACGCCGCTGCGATAAAGCCACAACTTGATTATATAATAGGGACAGTGACCTATATGCACAAACATACATAAAGCGACCATTATTTTTCATTCCTTTTCTTTTGTTGTTCATGTTTCTTTTTTATTCGCTCGCTGCACTTCCTCAGTTAAATCCTTTTAAATTGAAATTGCTATTTTATAAACATAAGCAGCTGCGGCTAAAAATGAATATAATTTGCTAGATAATAAAATACGATCCTCCTTATTGTGTGTTGGAATTGCTTAATTGTGTTAGGAAAAAAATATCAAAAAAAACTTTTCGTTTGTAAATGAATAAATAATAGTATAACTCAATTGATGAACTACAAAAATAAAGTATACAAACAAAATCTATGTTGATATACATAATTTATTACTAATAGCAATTTACTGGCTTAATTCGGTTGTCAGGTTATCAATCTACAACGTTAGGAAATATAATTAAACATCAATATTTATTATATTAATTATCACTCGTTTTTTCTGATATTTTCATCAATCAAATTATATTCAGTGTCTACGTTTTTTTTAATTATTGCAAACTTTTATTGAATTAAATATGAAACAAAAATATATACTTTTTTAGAAACATCAATTAAATTTTACTAGAAGTCAAACACACTTATCCTCTGATAGACGTGTAAATCGAAATTGTATCTTTTTCAATCTAAAATTTATTTTTTATTTAAACCGTTTGTACAAAGTACCTTGTAAAAACAAACACGTGTCAAGAAAGTACCGAGTAAAACGAAGCATAAGACAATGAAAATTATCATGTACAGATGTATAAATCGTTCTACGTTCATACGAATATTTATTATGTACGTATTATCGAACATGCGTTGAAATGATTATATTAAATTAAATTTGCATTGACAAAGTCACCGAGATATATAGTGTTTCTACATATCAAAATTAAATATGTTTTACTTTTTTTATGTATTTCGAAAAAAATCTTTTTCTGTAATCATGTAATCGATTGCATGTGTTTTTGTTTTTATAATTTTATGAATTAATACTGTCCAAAAACATTACAATTTCAATAAAAGATAGAAAAAAAATCGGTTTATTTATATATACTCAAGATGTTTATGTAAATAAATGACTTAATGATTGTTTTCGTCTATATCTCATACATTTCGAAACCGCACTAACCGAAGCCTCTAAGAAAGGACCATTTATGTATATTTCTAAATATATTATTTATAATTTATTATTATTTTGCTCAATACAAAATAAATTTGTTTTTATATTTTCAATGCNNTGTACCATTTTTTTTTAATTAATTAACTAATAATAATCAAATTATTATATATATATAGAATCAAAAAGAAATACAACAAAACTTCGCATACTCCGGTATTCATTATTCCTAATTTGCTATAGTCAAATTTATAAACAAACTAAATTTTAATTGACAATATAAAAATTAATTGTAAAGACAATAGTTTACGATTTTAGAACATCTTAATAGAATTTCTTGAAAATTTTTTAACATTATTAACATTAACATACGCAGAATTCATTAATTAATAATACGCAAGAAAAAATGACTTGCTCATGTTTATTATTATTTTTTTTCGTTTAAGAAATAGCAATTATTATGGAAATATTAATGTTGTTTTTCTTTAATTAAGAGTGCTTTTATCGATGGAACTCGAACGTATATTTTTCCACTTTTGTGCCTCGACGCCCCTCTCGAAAAAAAAAATGAATAATAAATCTGATGGGCGCAAAGTATCCGAGCCAAAAAAAAAATGAGAATCAAAGCAAAGCACGAAGACGGGGGAGGAATAATATTTAGAAATTCGTCCAAGAACGAGGAAAGAAATTGAATATTTGATTTCAAAATTCTCACGTTAAATTTGTTGAAATTTACTATTTGTGTTTGACGTGAGGTTTCTGATCTGGAGATTATCTTTTTTGTTCGAACAGTTCCACCGATGATTTGGATCCAGAATCAGATGGTTGGCGCATACGAGGGTCAACAGGTCACACTCGACTGCCACTCGGAGGCTTTCCCTCGTTCAATCAACTACTGGATGGCCGACAATGGAGAAATTGTTCCGCAAAGTAAGTGGGGAAAAATGTTGCATTGAATATTTCATAGAGCTCACATCCCTAGGTTTGATTCCAGTTTTACTTCATTTTCCCCGCTCGCTCCCGATGTCCCATTTACAGCGAATTCTCTGTAATATTTAGATCCCACATGCAATCTCTCTCGAAAACAGATTGCTTTCATTCCTTTATACAAGTCCTATTATTTTGAATCACGAATAAGTAATATACATTGTCTCAATTACCTACTTACAACTTACTTATCACTTACCATTTATATAAAGTGTTTTATTATGAATTTCCGCGATTTAACTAATAATTAAATGTTAGTTTAATATATAATTATTCTTGTCAAGTTAAAGGAAAAATCTAAATTACATTATTTGTATTCCCCTCTATTTTATAGACCTTAATTAATTGATATTTAATACGAGTCCTTTATACATGATACTGATTTTAAAATATTGTCCAGAAATTGGATTGCGTCTTATGGTGCAAAAGTAATAATATATTCTTTCTAGATATGAAATACTCAATATTAATACTCCGATTACATAAGCATAATTGATTGACTGAAATCATTGTATGTTCATACTGATATATGAGTATATTTATGTATTATCGACCGTATATTAAAAGAATATGCTTTTAAAAAGATGTCATAGTATATATTTATAATAAATAAATATCGTTACTAACACTTTAAAATTAAAAATAAATAATAATTATAATACAAATTAAAGCTATAATATAATAAAAAATAAAAAGACTATAGGACTTTCTTTTTTGTAGTTTAATTACCGTTGTATATTTTATGGCTGAAATTAAGAAAAATAAAGCAATTATCCAACTTTATTTTCTATTGTTGGAATTGTTCTTGAACAGATCATGCATTACATAATAGTAAATATAAAACTATAACTTGTATAGGAATACCTCGCAGAGTACGGGAAATCGGCTCCGCATTATTTGAAACCGGACTAATTGAGAACTTTACAACGACATAGAAACAATCAACAGAAAAATAAACTTGCCTGTATAGAAAAGAAAAAAACATTTGAAGATAAACAATAATTATGAATACTATTTTTTTAGAATTTATATTAATTAATTTGGAAAATTTAGTTTGTAAACCGAGGTTCCAATATACTCAATGATTGTATTTAGTGTATTTTTTTATCTAATGAATATGCACATACAAATGTATTATTTCATAAGTAAATTATAGTGAAAAAGTTTACCTAATTATCAGTTCTTCGAATTTGTTCGAGATGTGAAAATATTCTATATAAGACATAATGTAAACGTTAATAAAAATGTATACAAAAACAAAAATTATGTGAAATATAGAATAAATTAAAAAAAAAAATAAATAAAATTGATAATAAATAAAATATGTGAATATAAAAGAATATTTTATGCTTTATATCTCATGTACGTGATTATTTATATATATTTAAACATGCATTATATATAATAAATTTTCTCTTCAAGCCAGTTATAGATTATTACATATTAATAACTTCTCTACGATTTATTATAGTTGTATATTTTCTAACTAAATTAACCTCACCTAATGTAATGTAACGTACCCCAAACTTGTTGATGGTAATTCAACCTCACTAAAACTAAGCTAACATAACTTCACAAACGTGTGCTTTTATTATGTTGTTTACATATTACTCCAGACTTTATATTAGATTATAGACGAGGCGCCCTTTCTATTTGATAAGTTACGTAGCCAGTGTTGACTGTGCAAATTCGGTTCTCGGACGTTCACGTTTACCGAACATAAATATAAAAAACGAGCATAATTTCCAGATATTGAAAGTTCTCCTCTTATTTTTCACTTTTCGCCGAACAGTTAAAATTTAAGTTTACTGAAATAATTACACATAAAGAAATAAAAATTCAAATCTTTCCGTCCCTTAATTTTATGATTTTTGCAAAAAAAAAGTTTAATGTTGTATGTATTTTAATTATGTTTGTATATTATAATATTTTATATGTTATGTTAAATTATCCAACATTACATTTTTATGAAAAAAAAATGGTTTCGGTTTTAATACAATTCAGTTCTTGAACATCCTCTATATACAAATTATATTTGAAAATTGAGTTTTCACTGAATTTTAATCAAACTGAACTCAAATTATGTGATGCAAACAAACATTAATTAATGAATTAATATTACATTATTGCTAATTTTAGATTGGATCGTAATAATTAAACCAGTCCAGGCGCATTACAAACATTGCATTCCAAAACTGAGTGCAATATTTATAATAAATTGAATAATAGATCTCACTTAATAGTAGCGCATCGTTCATTTTATTGTTATTATTTCAAATAATTTATATAAAATTATTTATACCCCTAGCAATTTACGAAATATAATTACTGTACAAAATTCAGTTTTGTTTTAAACGTATTTCCATATTTCATTTTATGGTTTTTTATACTGCAGAAAAAAACTACACGAACAGATTTCATATAAAATTTACCAATGGAAATCGACATACAGTGAAACACGTAAAACAAATAAATAATTGAAATGTACATTATATAATATTGAAAACGTATTTAATCTAAAGCTGGAAAATATTGTAAAATGTAAAAATGCGAATGATTTTTTTTGTCCGGACAACATACTTATATTCGGATAACGGATATATTACAATACATTAAGCTACAATAAATCGATAATCGGTTTACGAATAATACGGTTATCGAACTTCGTTTTTGAGTTGATTATATTCGTTAACTAATCATATCAAGTAAAACATAAAGGATTCACAAAAGATTTGAAATATTTCATCATGACTGGAAAATAACGGATACCTTACAGTATATTAAACTACGAACAAATTGGATAACAAACATCGTTCTTGAGTTGATTATATTCCTTAACTTATCATCTCAACCATTAGAATGAAACAAAAACAGCAGTTTGATTTGTAATTTACTATTGATTTTAATACAAATTATTCTCAATAATAATTTATATGTAAACAATAATTTTTACTTAGGGAATTATTTGAAATTAGCACAATACATTTAGATATTTAGTTTAATATTATAACTTTCTATGACAAGTAACACATAATAATTTTAAATATTTCAACATGACTAGAATATGGAATTTCAAACACATATTGAAACAAAATATTTGGTGATATTGGTGACAACATGATACTAATATTACATTATTGTTTGATATAAAATTTTTAAGTATGAAATGTATGTAATTTAATATGCTTTCAATATGATTCAATAACATAAAATGCTGTGTGACATGAAACTGCCCTAAATACAGTTGCTATTAGGTATAAACAGTATTATTTTGTAACTGCCGAATTTAAACTGTTAATTGTTAAAACCGATGGAAAATAATTGAAAAAAACGCCATAATGGATATCGAATGAAACGTAAAGCGAATTTCACAAACAAACAACAAACAAAAACACAACGAAAAAAAAAGCGCACACTTATAAATTGATTGGATTGTTTCAGTCTCATAAATCCGTTTCAGGGTTAATGCAATCAATCGGATCAGTCTGAAATCCCTGCACAAAAAAAAACAATTACATATTTAACAGTAAGCACCCTCCGTGTACCAATTTTTTAGAGTTGCAACAACAACAAAAAAGCGTTTCGGTTTTTTGCTATTTATGTGAAATCAGCAATTTTTTTAAGCTTTTTTTTTATATTAAATACTTTGGCGAAATTTTTTCAATCTCAAAACATTACATTTTTAACGTAATATAAAAATTATTGTAGTTATTTTTTTTTTAACATTTCTCAATGTCTAAGTTATAATAATTAAGTTATAATATAAATTTAATAAAAAAAATCAATTTAATTTTTTTAATATAATTTGTTCGAAAACCGAATTTATTCGAGAACTGAAAAATATTCTGTATAAGACATAATGTTAATACGTTCATTAAATTTAGATAATTTAAAATCTTATAATAATATTTCATGCACAAAATTTTATATAAAAACTAATAATGAAATATGTGCTAAATAAAAAACATGTTATGTAACCGAAATGCTATTTGTTCGATAACCGAGGTTTCGCTATTTAATTAGTGCTGTTCTAATCAAAGTTTAAAAAGTTTTGATAATCGGGTCAAGTTTTTCATTGTAAATTGTTCTTCTGTATTCAATCCGAAATTCAATTCGAAAATTTTATTCGTGAACCGAGATTCCAATATATTCAATGGTTGTTGTTAGTGGATTTTTTCTGTGGTGAATATACGAAATTAAGTCTTGCTTCATAAGTAGTATGGATACAAGCAATTATCAGTCTTTAAAAAATTACAATGAAAAAGTTTACCTGATTATCAGTTCTTCAGTATTAACACCAAAATACTATTAAAAAAAGTGTTCGTGAACAAAGGATCTTATATATTCAATTATTGTATTTTTTCCGTGGTGAATATACAGAAATAAAATAAAAATTTATTACCTAATTATAAGTTCATCTATATTCAAACCGATTTATTTTTATCGAAATGTTTGATCAAAAACCCTATTAGGGGATTTGTTTAAATCGACCTTTTGTTCGAAAACCGAGGTTTCAATATATATTCAGTTAATGGTGTTAGTTGATTCATTTCTGTGATATTGTGTGAAATTAAGTATTATGTCATAATCTTTAAAAAATTATAATGAAAAAGTTTAATTAATATACTAAACATAATATTTTAAATATCTATTTGGAAATAAATCTGAATTTGCGATTCAATATTGATTGTATCGTTTGAAGGTATAGAGAAAAAAAAACATAGAAACTACATTTCGCCCGTCTGATTGCATTTCCTGGGCTTGGATTTATTGGCTTTAATGTATTGTGTGTTTTAATTAAAATAGTAAAAAAAAGCAGACACAGTTGGGAGCGAGAGAGAGAGAAAAAAAAAACAATAGCCATTGGGGAGGCACATGAAAAATTCCGCAGAGAAAATGTAATTAATGAACTGCAAAAGTTTCGGAAGACCCCTCTCTCACTCTCGCCATGGTGGTCGTGGGCGGAAAATGTTTCACCCCCACGAATAGAAATCGGTATCGACGAACAACCAGTTCCCCATCCGAAAAAGAACTTTCTGCACACGTAAAGTTATTTATAGTATGCCTGAAAATAATTAAACTTGCAATTATAAAACGCTATAAAAACGAACAAAGTTTTATTATGACTTTCGGTCTCCGAGTAAATAATTATATAATATTTTTTTCTTATTATGTGATATTTTGTTGTGTTGTATATTTGCTTAGGATTAGGGAATGTTGTATACATATTCTCTCTTTTTTTATTAACTTATTAGAGGGTCTGCAATTCTTCCGTGCTGTAAATCCGGTTATTACCTTAACAAAGGGGGAGAGGGTTTGTGTTTCTTATATCTGATTTATTTTTATATTAAATTTATAGGACAGTTTTATGGTCGCTGTAAAATCAAACAACACGAAAACCAAGTTAAGGTTGTGCCCTTGTTTGCTTCTAGGCGGGAAATACGAGATAGCGCTCATAGACAATAGCTACAAGGCCCACATGAAACTCACCATCAAATCGGTGTCCATAGAGGATTACGGCACCTACAAGTGCGTGGCTAAGAACTCGCTGGGAGACACCGATGGTACCATTCAACTTTACGGTAAGTTTCATTTTATTATTTTATGCTGAAAATAAGAAAAACATAGTTTATTACCTTTGCAATGTTCTTACGGTAAATCTTGGATGTTAACATATAAGTCCTGTACGCTTTTTCAAATTTAAAAATGCGCGCCAAAACTAAAGAAAAAATATAAATGCTTGTTGTTTGCTTTTACGTTACACCCATTATTTTATTGAATGCCTTCAAAATTGAATTACAAGTAGAAAAAGTGACTACGTACAAGAAAATACATTAGTGTCAATAATGTATAATGTATTTGTTGTAATTTTCTGTTGTTAGTCCTCTTGCTCTCTTAATTTGAAACAAGCAGATAGGACTTATGTTAACACCCAATAGTTGGTAAATAAAATTAAGATGATACAAAATATGCATGTAAGTCAGATGTTATGTACGTATCTTAAATCCCATGATTTAACTTTATTATATATCTTATCTTCGATATAAATTTATTTATACAGAAAATACTAATAATAATAAATGTAATTATTTATGTTCGATATTGCAAAACATTATATTATTTTTTCATCACAAATATTCATAACCTCATTTAAAACAAGATACCTTATATTAATTAAACATGTAAATCTGACAAATTAGAATTTTCAGTATTGATGTTTAAAGTTGAAGAAATTAGATTTTTCATATTTTTATTGATGCACTTTGGTCACTTTTTTTTAAATTTTACACAATCGCAACCAAATAAAAAATAACTAACTGTTATAAATTATTGACTATAGATCTTTCCGCTCATAAAACTTAATTATGGTATATTTTAGTATTGATTGTATTTTTGAATATACAAAGGATAAGTATTTAGTGTATACTCAAAAAATATTAACATAATTCCATATAAAAGCATTAGAGACACTTGATTTAAATTAAATAAAACCATACAAATGATATGCTGCTATAAAAAATATGCATGTTTGACTAAAAACAAGATAATATTTAACAGATACCTAAGGTAGTTACTTTTTACTAGATTATTTGGATTTATATGTGATTGATCAAATGACATGAATACAATCTCATTGACAAGGGTTGTCAGATGTCTGAGTTTCCTGAATTATCCTGATGTGGAAGAGATGTATCAAGAGATTTCGGAACTGTCAAATATCACAGTTTATCAAAACTATTGTCCGAAATTTCCACAATCATTGTCTGACCACTGTACGTGTATATAATAAGTGAATATATTGTTTTCAATGCTTTCAATAGTTTCTTTAATAGACAATCTGTTGTTACACTAATATTGATCAATACAAATTTTAAATGAATGTAATACAAATTGTGTCAATAATTGTGTCATGTAATAATGTGATTTTTCGTTTGATTGAAGAGCACTTGCTTGAAAACATCATTAACACTTTAAGGCTTCGAATATGTGGTAATTCTCTACCGATGTTTTAGTTTCATCATTATTATTATAAGCAGACATTACGCTTTGTCTAAGCAAATCCCTTCCGGACAGTTCTTTCAGCAAAAGCAACTTTCCGTAAACAAAATAGTTTGTAGTAATTGCTCTAGTGGTATTTTTGTCTTTCTAGTAATATAAAAGTATCAAAGTCTAATATTAACTATATTTACTTCTATCTATAAGCTGGTACTTAAATGACACAAATCGTTTGATGAAAATGAATACACTTATCCCCCGATTTACACTTATATATAGGTTCCTGAGAAAAACGTGTAAATCGAAATTGTAACTGTTTGAATGTAAAATTGTGTAAATCGAAAAATATGCAGTTTAGAGTTAAACATTGTTTCTCTTGATCATAGCCAGTTTATTTTCAACATTTATTTTTATTTTTTTTTAAACTGCGTAGAAGCGAAAACGTGTAAAAATAGAACCGTGTATAATTATTATTTTTTATTTTGCTCAGTTAAAATTTAGTTTATTTTCAATTTTTCAAATTCTATAGTGAATCCGCACTAAACGAGGTTGCACTATGCGAAGTATTACTGTATTTACAATTTCACCTTTCTAAGTATTATAAAACATAATAAAGTAGTAAAATATATGATACTTGACAATGTTCATAAAATGCAAATAAGTTAAGAGTTGAAATATATAATATATAGGAAAAAAAAACAGTTTGAATTACCTTAAATCAAATTTGATTGCGTAATACACGAAAACCATAAATGATGGAACTGCGTCGATAAACACGGTTTATTCCCTATAAAATCAGCTTTAATTTACATACTTCACGTATTACCCTATGTTCATTGGTTTACGCGAGAAAATATCATTATTAAATAAACCATGAAATTTACATAAGTCAACTTTAAGACCGTTTAATATTAAATCTGCGAAAATAAGTCATATTCAATGATACATTCATATTTCATCTAATACTATAACAGTACTTATTATAATAATCATAGAATTACATAAAAAATTTACATATTAAAATACACATTAAGAATATATCTTCAGTAGAATTTCTTGTAGGTTTTCATTACATTGATATATCCTGATAAAAAATAAAAGGAAACATTTGATATAACAAAAAATGTTTTGTACAAAAAGCTCTTTTGTTGTTAGAAAATCATCCGGGAAACACATAGGACACATGCATTTCTGATAAACTTGTGTTTCTTAATTCTTCATTCTAACCATTTCATGACTACTGATACATATATGTTCCAATTAGTTTTATGTCAGGACTTACGGCATTTTATCATGTTATATTTAGTTTATATGTGTAAACATATTTTTCTATTGCACGGCCTCTAAAAGGGTTCAATCCTGAACTGTTTTAAAAACAGTTATGATCGTAACGTTAGTAAAACTTGATTTCAATAGATCAGGTAGATCGGAATGATTTTTTAAGTAGAAAAGTCGATCGTGTTCACTTTTTAAGTAAAAAAATATTGAACAAGTTAGCTGCCCCTGAACTAGAGGATAAAGAGGATATAACAGTTAAAATATATTGGAAAAACTGTACCATTAAAAACGAAATTAATAGTTATTTCTAAGAAGTCACCTATAAATGTTAAAATTGAGTTTGGAATAAAATATGGATAGAAGTTGAACTAGATCAAGAAAATAACATCAAAGGAATTAGAAATAAAGTTCACTTTTTATGTCTGTTTATTTATTTTTTGTTGTTCCAATTTTCTTCAAGACGAAATATATTATCACTCTAGCCATAGTATTTTCAACTGTTTCCTTCAAGAAATTTAATGGAATGCTTCCCATTCGTTAATCGAGGTATAATTATATATAATTTCATACAAACAACTATTTTGTCCTCAGTTCGATTATGTATTCCATTTAAACCCTCATAAATTAGGTTACGATTACTGGAATGTACAACTCTCTGGCAATTTTCCATATAGTTATATAGCTGAAATATCTATTGGATTATACTCATAACTAATAAACCGGATATTAGAACTTAAATAATTAAATAAATTTGAAAAAGCTGTATAACATCACCGTTTAGGTTTCAAAATCATAAAAATGTAATATATACTAGGACCTCATTTAGCGTGTAGAATACGCTAAACGAAACAGCGTTAAAAAAAGTCACTATAATATATAATGAATTAGTGAATTTAAAGAATTAGATTAGACCGCGTTATTTGAGAAAGCGCTAAACGAGGTCTTACTGTATTGTAAATAATACACTTGTTATAAAGTAAATACAATATTGCAAAGAATAGTATTAAAGTTTACAAAAAATCTTAATTTGAATATGCAAAATAGTTTGTATATTTTTATATTATGACGGGAATAACGAACAGCGTATGGTTGCATCATAAAGAAACTGTTAGGTGGCAACAGATTCGGAAGAAGTTAATTGGGAATAATAACCATAACGTTTTCGCGCAAGGATTTATCGAATTGGAGCGGCGCACGAAAGCGGAAGAGGATAACTGGAAGGGCCGTTTTTCTTCTTCTCTCTTCGAGCAGAATACGCCGAGGTGATTTTTTTTGTGCCTTCTTTTTGGCACACACGTCTAGTTTAAGTTACGACCGCGCTTCCTGTGTTTTGTCATTAATTCCGAGCCCACGACTTGCCATTTGTAGTTCACAAACTACGACCAGTCTTCCAAGAGGATCGTTAATTTTTTAATTGCAAAACAGGAAGAGAGTTTTTCTTTTTGTTCTCATTTGATATAATCGCTGCATAATTGATAAATTAGGATTTGAGTAATTATCTTAAATGCTTAATGATTTCGTACAATCTTATGTAATTGTTTGTATAATTAATAAATTTGCGTAGGAATTGAGTAATTACCATAAATACTTAATGTTTTCATATAATCTTATTTAATTGTTTGCTATGGAAATTGAAATAATAACATAATCTGCAATGTTGCATGTACCATTATTTGTTTTTGTAATGTATAAAATATACATTTGCATAATAATATGAATAGATAATTAATATTAGGCAGAAATACTTTATTTTACTATACATTTTTTATTTTGTAATTTATTGCTGCAATAAATATTATTTAATTAATATTATGTAATTTGAAATATTTGCCCATTTGAAATATTTCTCAAAATGTTATTTAACTTTTGGGGACCTGGACTAATATTATTTGAGGGCCCCGAGCAAACATTATTCAGGGGCCCTCGCAAACAATTTTTGAGGACCCCCGGCTAACACTATGAGAGCCCTTGCTAACTATATTTGATGGCCCCGACTAATACCTGTACTAATACCGGGCCTGGCTTCTAGCATGTGAAAACCATGTCTATATACGGCTCTAATGAAACATTATATTACTTTACACTATTTTCATAAACTTAAAAAATAACACATCCATGGACATAATCATCATAACCATCACATTCTATTGAGAATTTTTAAATTGTCAATTTTATAAATAAATTAAAAAAGTTCATTTTATATATTTGTCATGGTTAGACAAACAAATATATGAACAAATATATTGGAAGATTAAACAAAGTACTCAGTTTTATTACTATTGAAACTGTACACTGTTGACGCATTCTATTTAATACTTAGACATATACGGACTTCATATTAACAAAGATAACTTTTGTCGTCCTGCTTTTGTCCTGCGTGCTTTTGTTGGGTCACCATTATATAATTTACAAATTCTTCTATTCTCCTGCTTTGCTGCTCTTTTTTCCTGTGCACCATCACCGAAAATCTAAGATACGTTTAGAGTTAACAAAACGGAATATATAATTTATTATTATTTCATTTTATTATAACGTCCTCAAATTACTGGAAGTTAAAATATTGAATTAGTCAATAAATTTTTCATTGTATACTTTACAATGTTTGTAAATGTTAATGTATAGAATAACTAGACATAGTATAGAATAAATTGTGCTCTAAAATTTTGTAAGATATTCTACAAAACAACTATTTATTTCTTAACATGCTTTAGTAGTAACATACAGTGGCGAATTAAGGCAAATTGTAAATGGGTTCCCTCCAAGAAAATATGATATTAAAACACAGAAATGTGTATTGATTTCTACCATAGCCTTAATAGCCTTAATGGTCCCTTTATGAGTAATCCATTTTAACATATATTCAAAGGACATTAGGTATGATTAGCAATTGGCAATTTAAATGACAAAGCAAAATTATTTTTTAATGTTTTTAATAAAAATTGAATGATTTATAGTAATCTACTTTAATTTGTTGTTGAAATTGGAATATTACAGTTGATGGTAGGAAGTTGGGAGAGTATAATACAAAGAGGATAAAGTGTAGTAATCAATAATTTGACGAATGATGAAGTAAAACAATGGGCGATAATTTGAAGGAAGACATTAAGTAATTAAGTGAGTTGATCATTTCGCTTGTTGCGAGAGGACCGACCGACCGGCAGGCGATGGGAGGGTGGCGGCAAAAGTGCGAAATGTAATTAATTACTTGACGAGAGGCTGGCATTGATTCAAGTTCTCATGCATAAGTTTATGTGCAGAATCCTTTCATAATTAAAAGCAATTTAAGTTGAGTGCCAATTTGCCGTAGACCGAAAAGCCGCTTTTTTGAAGGAAAGTTTCCGATTCATAATTCGAAATTGATACAGAGCGGTGGTGGAACTAAAGAGGGGAGGGGGGAGAGTCGACTCCGATTTACGTGTGTGCACGTTTGTATGTATGCATGTGTATTACGTAAGTACTTGTGTTTGTATGGGCACAAAACCTTTGATGCAAAATAATTCAATTGGCCGCTCCGGTAGTCAAAGTTTAAAATACTTGAAGGGCGGAAACTTATTCACAGAAAGTTGTGAATTACGAGAGGAATATACGTGTATGTATATATACAGACGGGCCGGCGAGAGCTAAATATTAATTGGATTGAGTATTGGGGGAGTTTTAAATTCGCGAGATAGAGCGAAATTCAATTATTCCGGATCCTTCTTTTCTTCGAGATTTTTTTCTTCTCTACTGCACTCTCCATCGCGTTCGGCTGCTTTTTTTTATCCCTCTTCCTCTTCTTCATCTGCACCCTCGGACGTTCACTCCCCTCCTATTGAAATCAAATTAATTAAATCTAAAATCTTTTCCAGAAGTTTTCCTGCTGCAAGCTTTTATTTACATGTGAATCGGTGGAACGAGTTTCACCCGAGAAATCCTATTAACTGTTGCACATTGTTTTCCTTCCAAAGTGCAATGGATACATTGCATTAAATAATGACACATATAAAGTACCTCTCACTAATACGTTTCTTTTCATACTCTTTTTTAACATTGATTTCCTACTATTTTTCTTGTACAGTCATACCTCGATTAACGAATCCGAAATTACTTCGTTAAGTGAAATTTAGTTTCCACAGGTAAAAATACTAATATTTTGTTATACCCAGATACACAAGTGGAATTACATTTGTAAATATAAGTGCTTTTTTTCTTCAATTTAATATTTGTCTACACGTACTTCTTGCATTTAATTGTGGATCATCTTCACAAAAAAAAGTATAAAACGTTTTCACTTTTATTTAACCACATCTTTGGTTGTATTTTTTTCTTAGCAAGAACTTCTTTAGTTTTGTTTCATTTTCTTTGTCTTCATTGCAAACAAGGTTTTCTAAATTCATCTGCATTCAATACATTTCATCGACACTTTTGAAATTTCTTAAATGGGTATTGAAATTGAGAAGTCTCTTATATTGAAGTTTCATTATCATATTTGGATAAAATTTAAATTAAATATATAAGTAGTTTGATTTTTGATTTATTAAAAGCAATTTAATCAGGAATGTGATATTTTATATAAAGTATCAATAATTATTACTTTGTTTTATTTTGTTTAAAAAGACATTACTTGTTTTAAATCGTGTTACCATATAGTAATTACCTTTTTGCCGCATGAACTTACATTTTTGTATGCAGTTGTTCTGCTAAGAGCATTTCAACAGTTTTTCTATTTGATGAAGGAGTCAGCTTTTATTTCGTGATTCATTAAACATAACCTATAACAAAATAGGTTATAGGTTATGTTTAATGAATCACGTCTGTAACTTCTTTAATTTCGTTACTATTTTCTTTGTATTCATAATGGTCCATCGTAAACGCCTGCGAAAATGTACATTTATTCTTATATTTACTATTTTATATAATATATTTAAACTGTATCATCCATTTGGAAAATAAATAATAACCGTTAAAATCTCTTAATGTTATTTATCATACAGTACATAAGATATGTCTTATATATGTCTATATGTTTTTTATGTCACCATCTTTTCACATTATATTTCAAATCAAATATATTTCTTCTAGTTTGTTAATGTCAAATGTAAATACTGTCCTGCGCTTTCTCTATTTTTTATAGAAATTATTTTGATTTTATCAATTGAAATCAAGTTTATTTTGAAATTTTTAAATCAGATTTTAGTCAATCCTGACTGATCGAAGTCGATTTATTGAAGATATTTCTGCATTATATAGCTTTTAGTATGTAATTACAAAAAATGATTTGATTTAGAAATATTGCCCATATTTTTGATTAAATCATCAACATCATGTTTGATTGTTCAAAGTCATGCTAGTCTTTTTAATTAATTTACAACCGTGCCTATAAAGTTTATTTTCAGTTTAATTGCATCGTAAATAGGAAAGTTCTGATAAATAAAAATCTGCATGCAACGTACACGAATGAACAAAAAAAGAGAATATCATAAAAAGAAAACGTTAAATTTGATTAACGATTGGTTACATAAGCCAGGACTAATTAAATAATGCATTTAACCCAGGAAGTAGCGAACAGAAAGAGTAAAGAGTGGAATGAGACAAAAAAATATATACAAGAAATGTTAATTACTTAATTTCTTTCTTAGCCACTGCCGAAGATAAAAGTTTTGCAATTAAATAAACTTCTGGTTTGCGGTTGTGGTTTCCAGAGACTAGAAGAACTTCAGTTACAGTTTTAGTATCAAACAGTAGCATATTGTAAGAATGTGTAATAGTGGGGGTTTAGTATTATGAAAAAAAAAATATGACAGGCTGCAATTCGACTAGCTCAAGCTACATGTAAATTACTGTATTCAATTTTTAGTTCTTCAAAATTATAATTTATTTTGTAGTATTTGTTAATATGCAAGCATAAATCTTTCTCCAAATATCTTACACATAATTATATCATAATTATAGCTATAAGAACTGTAGCCGTTTTAAAAGGCTGCTGAAATTTTGAATAATTTTCTATAATTTTCCTGTTCTTTCTGTGTTTTTAGCTATCCCGAAGCCGGCCAAGAGGTCCAACGGATCCATTAGGAAAGGTAAATGATTAATATTCGAAAGGTCGGCCTGGTGCGGACTGTCACGATTAACAGCACGATTCCTCACTTTCGAGTCACTTAGAACGAATTTAGGTGGAAACGTCGTGTAAACATGCGATGTTATAATTTATTTCACTTACAAATCAACGCTTTTCTGTACAAGCTGCGATGCTAATTAATACCGATTCTTTTTGTTTCTCATTCTTTGTCCATTCGTTGCAAATCGCAGGAAAGTTCAGGAAGAAAACGAACGACGTGACGGATCTGGAAGTGAGAAGTGAGTGCATGAAGGATTTGTTAAAGTCCTTGATTGGTTTATGAACGATGTTTGTCCTGTTTCAGATCCGGACGATCAACCTGATTCGCTGTTCCAGGAGGACGACTACTACAACAGCCGCGGAGGAAAAACTGCATGGAAAATGTCACTCGCTTTTTTGGTCGCTCTGCCTTTTGCCCTGCAATAAATCTTAGTTCTCTCTCCCCCAAATAGAACCCAATTCTCTAGGTAAAAAAAAATATACACACATCCTGATGTCTTTCTCTGTGCGCGTGTAAATATATAAAGAAAACTCGGGAAATCCACTACTCTCTATCTCTACCTATTTCTACCTAACATATTTTTTTATACGCTTCATTTTGCTATAATCGTGATTCGTTTCGTTTCTCATCCCCAGATTCTTGTGTTATCTATAGAGACGAAGTATATAGTGTACATGTAAAACTAAGCATTATACATTAGACTTAATCTTAATATTGACTGATATATTATGTGAGGATTTAGATGGTAAGCAATATTTTTCAGAAGATAGGTACATTGTTTTACTTTCTATTTTCTTTTTGTTGATTTCTAGTTGTAACTAGCTTTAGAGCTTAGGTTTGGGCGACGCAGTATTTACGAGAGGTAAAAGAAAAACATTTGTTAATGGGAACAATTTTCTGTTTATATTTTCCCCGTTTCCTTTGGTTCGTTTACGTCGACTCTATTCTACACGAGCATTTGAAGCGCCTTTCATAGACGCAGCACACGCAACGCGTGATTACCTAAGTTCGCAAACTTTAAGTTCCGCTTTCTTCCTTCTACGATATTATAATTAACGTCGTTTTATAAAGAAACTTATTTCCATTGACAACACTTAATCATTCAATAATGTACGAGACACAATTTAATTTTGTTACTTGTATTGTTTACAAACTTTAAATGAAAATTTTGTCTTAGAAACAATGTGATTTTCAGATATTTTTTTACATATTAATTAATTGCATTTATGTAATAATTTCTCTCTTTATGTATTGCGCAATTATGAAACTGCTAAAAACATATCACAAATATTACTTTTGTGCTATGGCGTTTCTAATGTTCGTTTAGGATAAGCCTTATATAACAATTAGTGTGGATTGAAGCCCAACTCCATTTTATATTGTAATCTTATGTATGATGAAAAAGACAAAAAATAAAAAATAGTTTTATATGTTACGTTTTTTATTTCTTCGCCCTTTTTTCTTATTCACATTAGTTAAATTGAAACCTTTGGGCAATCAGGTAAGAATGTTTTTGTATATGTAGTTTGATACAATTAATAAGTCAAAAGGATACAAATTGTGGATAAATTTATAAATATTTATTATTATTCATAATTTATTACACTTTTGTCAGTCAAATCAAGTTTTATATAGATTGTCATTCACTGGATTTCCCGTCCGACAATTCAAATTTCCTGGGAAATAATCTTAGGAATTTTTTCATAATTAACTAGACTATGAGTGACATAATATGGCAGACATATGAAACTTGCTAATGTATCAACTATTATATGATTATGGAAGTATAGTATACATCTTTATATAGTAATAGTTGGTATAGTAATAGTTGGTATAGTAATATGTTTAGGTGTCAAAGCACGGATCATTCTCGGAATTTCCCGAGCCACAATTCCAATTATATGGTAGGGTAGGTAATCAAAATCGCTTAGAAACTTATGTAGTTTTCTATAAACAACAATATTTTATTGATTTTGTCGATTCTCTTGAAAATGTATATAAAATATCAATTCAAATATTGCAAACATGAAATTTATGTTGTATATTCTAAAGTGCACTTCATATTCGTTTATATATTCCAATTTCAACGTTCACAATAGTTGCAATGTGTACTTCATAATTGTTTATTTGAACTTCATTTTTATAAATTGTATATATTTTTGAAGCACCATTTTGTACATTTATTTAAAAGGTATTACAATGATTGTTATGTATTTATAGAACTTTTGTGTATAAAAATATTATTTCTCGAACAATTTTAGTTTACTTAAATACAAAATATTTAAACTTTTTTTAATTTTAAATTTCTCGGGACCAAAAAAAATATCACCACGTCTCTTTATAATGTACAATTAATCGCACAAATCACTCAATTTTGCATTTGATACATAACTTATAGGGATGACTATAAGAACGTTTATGGAAAAAAACTATGTAACTTTTTACAATTTCCGTCAAAATCTAACTTTTTTTGAATTTTCGGGAATTATCGGGAAATGAATTTTAAATTTCCCAGGAACAAAAACGAAATTGCCAAAATGTACATTCAAGTTTAATATATACATATGCAGATTTATAACACATTTTGTAAAATATTTGTTTCTAATTTATTACTAAAAATTATTGCAAAACAAATCAAATCCCGAACGTCTCTTCATAATGTATAATGAATCTTATTCACACAATTTTATTATATATTTAATTTACAATCTTATTCCTGCGAACATTAATTAAATCTAATGGCTGTAGACATTTGTTTTCTGGTTAACTTCCCAATAGCGATTTCACAATTCCTTTTGTCTGTGTATCTGCTGCTATCCTTAACACTGTCTTTGTCCATCGACATGGCTGAAAGTCCATATGCTGCGATTCGAACTTGTACCCACGGAATCGTGGGTAGGGCGACTTAACCTTTTGGCTATTAGTCGCCCCCATAAGACCGTTTATGAGTAAGTAAATAACTATAGAACTTTTTACATTTTTTTTTGTCATATTTTAATATTATTTTAAATTTCCCAGAAACAAATCTTGGAAAATCTACCCTCTATTTTTGTATATATGACGACTTTATATATTTTTTTAATTTAAACCTAAGTAAATAGTGCATTACAAAAGTTCGTCTCGTCTTTTCTCTTCATAATGTACAATAAATCTTATAATATTTTCTTATTTAGTGGTAAAGTCACACACTTTTGCCTTTGATCAATAACTCATATGGATGACTATAAGAACGTTTAGGGGAGAGATAGTGAGGGGACGATTTCCATTACAACGATGCTGGAAATTGGACTTCGGAGGGTGAAACCCCTAAAAAAAGATGATAGTTTTATCAATGTGGTCAGATAGCATATAGTTTGAGTGGGATCTATTGGAAGAATTACAGAAGACTACAATAATCCGATTAACTTTAACAACTGCGTGTGATTTATTGAAGCATTATTAAGAATGACAATGAAAGAATATAGACTCAAACTAATTCTTCAAAATCAAAGCAAATTTTTATTTCAATATTTAGTTATAATTTACAAAATATTATTTTGACTTTGGAAATTTAAGACATAGAGAAAAAAAATACTACAATATTGTAGTATATAAAATTAATGTTTTGTGTCACATTTTGACGACATTATGAAACTTAAATAAAAATAGTCACTATAATGGACAAGAAAACGAAGTTTTAGTTTCTAAAGAGAAGGTCAAGGGTGTTGTGTCTTTTCTTAATTTAGTGTTAATAACTGTATAAAAAAAACTATTTTTTTTATACATAAACTTTGTAACCTTGAAAGAAAACTAAATTATGATAAGTATTCATATTATTGATTTCAAAATTTTTGTATGAAAACATGCATAAATAATTTATAAAATGAGCTTAATCACGTCGTTTTTAATTTACTTTTAATAAACGTAACAAAAACTATTTTTTTTTAAGCTCAACAATTTGTAACTCATTTTTTCTAACAATTTGTAAACTTTCGTCTGAATGTAGCATATAAATTTGGAACATATTTTATATTACACAGGATGACGCGTTCCGAAGAGAGGCCTAATTACATAACAGAACCATCCGTACATGCACGTATCAAAAAAAAAATGTAATAAATGATCTTTTATAATTGATGATAACTGGGCATACGAAAATGAAACAGAAGGGATGATTAATTTAAATGTTATGTAAAATACGTACAGTTTATGCTCGAGCTGGAACAACGTTTTCGACGCAAAATCTCCATGACTGTGTACTTTATGACTCATATCTGATGGTATCAGGTACAAAGTCGTACGGCATGTGATTTTTTTTGTTAATCCGGCAATAAGCTTTTCTTTTGCAATTAGATGTAAATCACATAATCAAAGTTTTTTTT